TCAGAAAGACTGTTTCAATTCATTTCATTTAAAATTAATTATCATAAAATGATTAGCCTTCTGATACTTTACATGGATTGATGGGCACATATAGCATTAACCCATGTAGGTTGTCAGTAGCTAGATAACACACGACTCAGTACTTTCTAAACTTTGGAATTGTGTATTCAGGTAGATATTCGCAACAAATAAATATAAGAATCAGTCAATACCAAGAAATATTCACAAACAAATACCTTGGAATTGTTTTTGGACTACCTTACATGGATGGATGTGCTTTGATACTCAGAAGTGTTTTTCTTTTCCTTTTCTTTACCGTGAACCACATAGACAATATAACATCAGTTCAGTTTCCAGTATTTAATAATCATCTGTACAATCAGAACTTTCAATCATGGACATTCCACAGTGTCACGTCTTTGTTACTTCTTGGTAAAAAGCATAGCAGTACCAACTGGCAACTGATAACTGAACGCCTACATTGTTAGCATTTTTGCTGAGCTTATTCACTCATTACAAGAATGAACCTGTTGACTCCAAGGTCACTAATGGGGTTACCGGATGAAACAAAGCAGGCCTATATACGAAGCTTTATAAATTTGTGAACTGAAGGTGTAGAGTTTACACATGCTTAATATGTACACTCACTGAGCATTTCATTTGGTACACCCATGTACTTCGTCCTTAGCACAAATCTAATGACTGCAAATGAATGCATTGAGGCACGCGGACATGATCAAGACGACCTGCTGAAGTTCAAACTGAACGGAGAAATAAGGTGATTTAAGATACTTTGAAAGTGGCATGATTGTTGGGCTGAGGATTTCAAAAGCTGCTGTATTTTAAACACTGTCAGGAACCCTGGGTGGAGCAGGAGGTGGGATTCAGTGTGTTCATGTTTAGTGTTTTCACTGTAAATAAATGCACCAGAGTGATATCCACTAATGTAGTCTCTCCAAACACTTGAGGGCAGGGAAGATCCAGGGAAGGTCTGTATGCGCAGTTATGGGGGGGTGGGCAAGGGAAACACACTAGTGTCCAGATCCAGGACTTTACTAATAGCATAATTCAACAATCCAGCAAATAATGAACCTCAGTCACCACATGAAGTAGTGGCCTCCTGATGAGCTCATCTGGAACAGGCGGTTGATTGGTGCAGACATGCTCTGACAGAGGCGGGAACCCACGATGAGTTCCACCCACAGACAGACAGATAAGCAAGACAAGCATAGAGAAAGAAGAGACACAGAGAGAAAACAAAGACGTGAGCAGGCCGCTCAAGAGGACTGAGGAACAGGATAGGTTCCACTGTGACTCTGAATTTAGGAAACAGAAGGCGAGCAAAAGAGAACGATGAGAGTGAGTTTCTTTTCAAAGATAAGCACAACTCAGCATGTGACATTTTATGATTATAAAATAGATATTTGATCTATGGAGTTTTCACTGAACTTTATTTTGTCAGCTTGTCTTATACAACATTAAAAGACTTAAGCATTGCAACAAGCTGGTCTGTAAATCTGTGATGACTCTGTGTTTTTTTGCTGTATTATGAAAATGTTCTGGGTGAGTGTTACAGCATTAGAAATACTAAGATTAGATCAGTGTTACTCATAAAGCATGAAGCATTTGCAGTAGTTTAATATAGAACTACCTTTTAGCTGTTTCATATGAGTTTAAAACTAATAAAATGAGTGTTTGAGAAAAACAAAAATCATAAAATAGCAGCAAATGCAAGTTACAGTTATCCAGAGCTCAAAGCAACATCGTTACTGTTTTGTTTAATCAAAATTTAAATCTCAAACTTTTTAAAATAGTTTGAAATTAAAAAGAGACGTTTCAGTATCTGAAGCCATTTTTGGTATTGGCTAAAAAAAACTATTATAGTAGTTTCAGAATATAATGTCTCTTAATTAGAAAACAATCATTTCTACCTCATATAACTGTATATGTGTTGATTGCATCTCATAGTAAAGTTTAAGTTATTTTTCTTTCTGTCTTGTAGTAAGATAAGATAAGATAAGATAGAACTTTATTAATCCCTCGGGTGGGTTCCTCTGGGAAATTCGACTTCCAAAAAAAGCACAGCAACGACCGAAGTTACAGTTACAGAATTTTATATCACACACACACACACACACACACACACACATATATAAATACAGAGACAAATATAAATAAAATATACAAAGGGGATAAATAGAATAAATAGGAATAAAAAATAAAAATACAAGTGAATTGCACATTTCAAGTATTGAGTCTATTGCACTGTTGACTATTTACAAAAGTATTGACAAAGGTATTGCACAGTGAGGTGAAGAGGCACTACAGCTTAGTTGTTCCCCCCTCCTTTGTCCTCCTGTCTCCCCTCCCTCTCCCCTCCAGAGAGGAGTTAAACAGTCTGATGGCGTGTGGGACAAAGGAGTTTTTAAGTCTGTTAGTTCTTGTCTTGGGGAGAAGCAACCTGTCACTGAACAGACTCTTCTGGTTGTTAATGGCCGTGTGCAGAGGATGCCTGGCATTGTCCATAATGTCCATCAGTTTCTTTAATGTCCTTTTCTCTGCCACTGTCACCAGAGTGTCCAGCTTCATGCCGACCACAGAGCTAGCCTTCCTGATCAGTTTCTCCAGCCTGGATGAGTCCTTCTTTGCTGTGCTGCTCCCCCAGCACACCACAGCATAGAAAAGTACTCCAGCAACCACCGACTGGTAAAACATCCTCAGGAGCTTCCTGCAGATGTTAAAAGACCTCAGCCTCCTGAGGAAGTACAGTCGGCTTTGGGCTTTTTTATACAGGTGCTCTGTGTTGCATGACCAGTCCAGTTTATTGTCCACCCACAGCCCGAGGTACTTGTACTTGTTGACCACCTCCACCTCCTCCCCCTCTATCTGAACCGGCAGTGGACCTTCTCTGGACCTCCCGAAGTCCACAACCAGTTCCTTAGTCTTTGAGGTGTTGAGTTGCAGGTGGTTTGTGTGACTCCATGCGACAAAGTTCCTCACCAGACTTCTGTACTCCTCTTCCTGATCATCCCAGATACACCCCATGATGGCTGTGTCATCTGCAAACTTCTGAATATGGCATAATTCAGAGTTGTAGCAGAAGTCAGAGGTGTACAGGGTGAAGAGAAGAGGGGACAGCACAGTTCCCTGTGGTGCTCCTGTGCTGCTGACCACAGTGTCAGACGTGATGTCCTTCAGCCTGACGTACTGTGGTCTGTCGGTGAGGTAGTCGGAGATCCAAGCCACCAGGCAGGGGTCCACCTCCATCCTGTTCAGTTTTTCCTGAAGCATACAGTTATACATATAGTTTGAGAAAGTAAAGCCTGACTCACTATCTAAAGACTAAATTACTAACCATTTCTCACCGTCGGTCCCCTGGGAGATGCAAGGGGAGATACTTCCTCCAGGGCCGAAGTTTTGTCCTACTTTGGGGTTAAATCCCCCCACTTTTGTGGAGTAGTGAGGCAGGCTGAAATTAGCCAAGACACCTGAGATACTGAAGGGATGAGGCTTTAATAACGGTACTGCACATTCAAATACACACTGCATAGGCTGTAGCCCGTTAGAACGCTGCCCCCGTCACCGCCTCTACCCGCGACATTTTTTGCGCTCACAGCGTCTCCTCACGCGCATGCTCACACACACATCACCTACAGTCCTCACAGGACACCCAGCCACAAAAACGCCGGCAAATCCCGCAACAAATGAATATCATCAAACATAGATCAGTTTAAATGTGCTTCACTATATAATGAATTTGCTGTTATTCATACATTTTTGTCATTATAAATTTTACTGCTTGATGTCACAGATGTGAATTCCAGTAAAGATCAGAATAATCCCACATGAAATTGCATTATTATCGCATTACTAAAAACAATATTCTTGTAATATAATAAAAACAGGACTAATTTAGAAATGTCAAACACGTTCATTTATTACACATGAAACAAATAAAACTGTTTCATTTTGTTTTACAAAAATTCCTCTAAAACAGAAATCAAATAAAAGCACATTTGTCTGGCTACATTTTTTGCTGACTGATTTAAGGCAGTTCTCATAAACTTTTTGTCAGTCTTAATTCAGAAACAACAGTCCTTGATACTAAAAGAACCTGTATGGTCTACATATGATAAATTCAACAAAAGAATTATTTGTTGCAATCACACTTCAAATTTGACTTTAATTTGGCCAATAATTATTTTTGTCATTTGTGTAGAAAGTTCAATTTGGTCTAAATATTTGGATCAAATTGACAGTCTCAAAAGGTTGATTATGTTCTGGACGTAGCATTGTCAGTGGGAGAAACGTTTCGTCACAGTGACTTGTTCAGTCTCAGCTGACTGCAGGTTTCCCCAGTCTTATAAACAGTACATTTGAATAATGACTGAAACCAGCCCACTGAAGGAACAATGGACTGGGAGGTCAGTTCCTTGATTATTAATATGCAAATTGTCATGACCAAATTGACAGTAATCAGTAACTAATTACTGATTATTTCCCCTCAAAAGTAATCCCATTACTTGAACTGACTTTTTAAAAACATGATTTACAACCTGAATAGGTGATGAAGCGATAGATCTTTCAGCCCAATTCTACTTTTTCTGCATAATCCATCATACAAAGTGTAATCAAATGAAAAAGTATCTTTTTAAAACTAGTTTTATTAGTTTTAATATTTTAACTTAATGCATCAAGCAAAAATTTAATTATATGCACCATTCTCTGACTGGAAGAAATTTGTTTAACATTTAAACCTATTTTCTGCACATTCCTGCACATAAAATAAAACAATTTTTGGTGTTTACACTCACTCTTTCAAATAGATGCAAGTAAAACACAGCAGAAAATAAATAAAAAAGTGGGGTAGGCGGATGTTTGCCCTGGTGCAGGTATGCCACAGTGGTCATGTCAGAGGAAGGATCTGGGAGTTTCTCTTTGAATTTCACATTGCCATGGCAGCGTACTCAGTGCTTGCTCTGAAGTTTAGGGGTTTTTTCCCTGTAAAAAGAAATTTTCTTCCCAGACAGTGAGCAGCAGATGCTGATGATTTTGTCACTTTTTACGGAATCAAACTCAAAGTAAGGTCAGTACTTCCACGCATTAAATACTGCACCTCATACTCCTGCACTCGTTATATTATCCATTGTTAATCTGCACACAGTTGCCACGAACGTCACACTCGCTTATGTCATTGCCATGAGACACTCTCACAAACGCAATGTGAGAGTAACGCAGTAACGCAGCGTGCTTACGGGAAAGTAACAGTAATCTAATGACCTTTTTTGCAGTATTAATGCCTTACTTTACTCGTTACTGCCCATCTCTGTTGTAGACTATTAAGAAATATAATTACAATACAAAGAAAACTATAATCGTAACAGCTTCTACAAAGTCAGTTACAACCACTCTAAATTCTTCAGTTTATGAGATTTTGCATTTAAAAATGTGATAAAACTCCTCGTACAGTTTTTCTAGAGTAGATCAATGTTGGAAAAATTGTATCCATTTCCAGCTCAATAATTAGGCGTGGAATAAGCAAAGAGGTAGGAGCTCTTATTGAATCTATTGTACAACAGCATCTCAGACACAGAAGATTTTTAGTCATATACATTTGCCTGTCTGTACTCTGGGCTTCTTAAATAAAAAGAAACTATGGTTCTCTCACTGCTGTAAAATTACTTGCTTAATAAACAGTTTTGTTTTGTCTTTTAATTTACACAGCCTCCATGACAGCCTTTTTCTTCTTTGTGGTCTTCTTTTGGACATTAACTGTGTTGCTGCTGTTGTTGTTGTTTCTGACACTGCTGGCTCTCTTCATCTGGTACACCACCTTAGCTGCTTCATCAGAAAGAGTCAGCTGTAATAGATGTAAAAAAAATTGATAATCTGTGAATAACTATTTTTTACAAACTCATAAACAGACTTATAAACAAAATCTAATATCTTGTTCCAGTGGATCTTGTACTCTTGCACTAATTGCAAAATTTTCGTCTATGGAGAGGTTCAAAAAGTAGCTATAAAAACTTTATTCACTGTGGTTGCTTGAAAGGTGCTGACCATTAAGGGGCTGTGATGGAGTTCAATAAGCTCATTCTCACTCTGAGTTTAGTATTTACTCAAGTTAAAATTTATAGGGTGAGGGCTATATTTTCATATTTACGACTGTTAGAAGTTAGTATTAACTTTGTTGTTGATCTGTTGCAATGTATGTGCAGACAAAAAACAAATAAAAAAAGAAAGATTATGAGTGCACAACATCTGATTAATGTTTCATGAATTCTTGTGCTGCTTCATTGGCAGTTGTATAAAAGTACGATTTTCCAAATCTTTGCCTGCTCAGTCACAGACAAACACAACATCTGACACATGTAAAAATAAAATAAAAATGAATACTTCCAAAATGTTCATGTTACATAAACAAAGGGTTTATATAATGATACAACTCACTGTGTGAAATTTCATCTAATTGTCTTCATTAAAAAAGTGTATGAATACCTGGGATTCCGTGGTAATGTCCTCACAAATTGTCGTCATGGTTTCCATCCAGTTACCATATATACTCTCTTCCTTTTGGATTGGCCTCCACTTGCTGTAGTTTAGAAAGAGGCACTGTTACTGCCTACAACACAGTAAAGTCACACACACACTTGAACTCTAACCCCTTAAAACCATTCCACTTTCTTCTACTCACTTCAACCGTTAACGTAAAATGATCAGGTGGTGGCTCAGTGGCCCCACAGTACAGGTGAACTGATGGGTCTAGATCCCCCCCATTCAATGTGTACTAAGATCTGCATACATATCTGCTTTGCTATTTATTGTTATAGGGATTTAAAAAATAATAATCTGAACATTTATAAAAGTTTAAATGTCCGGTAGTAATAAAATAGTGACAAGAGATTAAATGCCACACTTGGAAAATATCTTTCCTACAAAGGCAGGCAGCAGTAACTACACAAAAGTAATAAAGTTGAGAACATTTGCATAATTATTCCTCAACATAATGTATAACACTTTACGTTTGGACTATATAAAAGAATACTAAGGTAAGTTAGTTTGTTTTTAGGAGAACTCGAGCTTCTTTTCTCTGTATGATAATGTTTAATGACCATTTTATGCACGTGGTGTCTCAAATTTAATTCCTGAAACACTGAGTAGCCAAATGTTGCAGAAAACAGTAGCTATATTATCTGGGATCTATATAGAGTTGTTTTAGCCACTTTCTGTCACTTCTACAAAGTAAACACTTCTTCACATTTCTTATAAATTTTGTGTAAAACATAATAATAAAAATGCTTGTAGTAAAAACAGATTTCGGTCTGGCTTTCACTGACTTAGGTCCAAATTCACCAAATTGACTTTTTACAGGATTCATCACAACAATAGCATGCAGCATACATTATCAGTGCCTTAATAGCTGGCTACTGAATCTCTCATATGTGCATTCATTATTACCTTTTTCTCCATGTATCCTCTACAAGACTCATACCTGACTTGTTGCATCAGGTCTTGCTGTGCTTTCAGCTGCCTTTGTGCCTCCTGCACTTTACCCTCCATGGTTAAACTGGCACAGAGCTGTGCGCAGTGAACATCGAGCACTGCCATGTTAAGTCTACCTGCAAAAATCCGACTTCAGACAGACAGATAAACAAGATGAAATTAAATATATAAATATATTTTATGATTAACTGGAACACATTTAAGTTAATGATTCTAAAAGTATTTAACACCCAGCTCCAGCTTTTTACCTGCAGGTAGTTGCTGGTCGCTGTTCGGTGATGATGCGAGTGATTCTGTGTTGGTCTCTGGTCTTGAAGCTGAGCTGCATTTGGAATGGAAGCGTTCCTTTCTGGAGAAAAACTGGTGAATACAGACCAATATATAACAAAATAGATTAGACTTTGGTTGATTCTATTAAATGCTTTCTGCACTAAAAATGATTTTTAAGCAGTAATAATACAGCAGAGTTGACCTACATTCCATAAAATCTGGTTTTACAGCAAACTGGAAGGTGATCTCCAGACCTTTGGTGACATTCCCAATCTCTCTTACCAGTTTGTGATTGTTTTCATCCTCATATGGAAAATACCTAAAGTGAAAGAGAGAGAAGAGTGAAAATAAAAGAAGGAAACAAAGGAAATTAATATTTTGGATACCACTGCACCACTCTATATTATTATTGTTATTAGACTAACATACAATCGAGTATGTAAAATGTTTATGTGGCAGTGTTTTTACGTTGCCACTCACACTCCATGAGAAGCGAGCAGGGTTGCTTTGACTCCTGTAGCTAGGACGTTATCTTCGGAGACCGATTGAATCTCTCTTGCTACCGTGCCAATGCTGACAATATTTACCTGCGCAAGCCAAGGAGCAAGAGTTACAGTAATATGTTCTTCTTTGTGTTTGCTTGTGTGAATTAATTTGTGTCTATCTCACTCTTCCTCCCGTAGCATCTGCCAGTTTACCAATATCAGCCAGGCGACAGTCTGTCCCTTCAAAAGTCATTACTGATATTATGACTCTGAAAAAGGAAAGAAAGAGATATGTTTTTCACAGAATTAGACAGGTCTTGTGGCTGATGTGCTCAGTTCATGCAGATGTGAAAAGTTCAAAGGTTTGAGCTAGACACCCTGCTGTAGCCAGGTGAGTCTGAATTCTGGAATGCTGTAGAGTACATGTGCAAAGAGTATATAAAAGAGTGTACAAACTGTAGCATGTAGCTGTAAAATGAAGTCTTAGTAGCAAATTCTCCATTTCTACTCCAGAACAAAGCATATGTTTCCAGTTTTTACTTTGTTTATCCCAACAAAGTGACTTTTTTGTGCTGATAAGCCACAAGTCAACTGATTTGCACTGGAGTAAAGGCTCTTAAACTTCACCAGATGTTGACGTCTTTGTTCTGTTCCAGATTCTGGTCATTGTGAACCTCTCCTCACAAGCATTTCTTTTTTTTTCTTTTTTTTCCCCCCACTGTTTTATTTTGACTGACGGTTTTATTTTTACAATCCCAATCAAAAGTTTAAGAATACTTGAAAAATGGCAAAACAAATCATATTTTGCATGGCTGGATCTTAACAAGGTTCCAAGTAGAGCTTCAACATACAATAAGAAGAAATGGGAGGTTTTTTGAGCATGCATAATTTATTGAAAACAATGCTTAAACTGAAAAAGGCTGTTTTACAGCTGATCAAAAGTTTAGGACCACACCTCCAAAAAAAAAAAAACCTGTAATTGCCCCCAAAACAGAAATCAGTGGCCACCAGTGGCCGTTTGATGCCTCTGCACAAGCTCCATTGTTAAACTGAAGGAAAAATCACCCCAGACCATTATTGTGTCCCCTCCACTGTGACGCATAGAAAACATCTAAGGTTGGATCTACTTGTCATGCCAGTAACGTTGGAAACCATCAGGACCATCAAGGTTAAACAAAAATTTTCATCAGAGAATAAACTTTATTCCACCTTTCAATGTCCCATGTTTAGTTCTCTCTTGCAAAGTCCACATGGTCAGTTCTGTGGCATTCAAGGAGACGATACCATTGAAGACGTTTTTTGTTTTTGAGGCCCTTCAAACTATATGCTGTCTGATGGTTAGGGGGCTGCAGTTGGCACCAGTAGCGGCCTTAATCTGGTTCGGGAATTGTCCAGTGTCTTGACAGACAGCCAATTGGATCCAGTGCTGGTGAAATTGTTTTGGGTCTTCCACTTGACTTTTTTGTTCCATAACCCCCAGGATCATTTAAGAAATTCCAAATGACTGTTTTACTGCGTCCCACCTCAGAGGCGATGGCATGTTCCGAGAGACCCTGCTTATGCAGTTCAACAACCCGACCACGTTCAAAAAGGGAAGCTTTTTTGCCTTTGCCATCAGAACATCATGACAGTGTGACTATCTGACAGAAAATGACAATGAACCCACATTTTTGCACAAATTTGGCCTTTTAAAGGCATGCGGTCCTAAACTTTTGATCAGCTGGTATTGAAAATAAAAATCTTTTGCTTTAATTACACAGTCTGCACTTGAATCTGTTCTGTCAGGAACCTTGTTAAGATCCAACCATGCAAAATATGATTTTTTTGTCATTTTTCAAGTGTTCATAAACTTTTGATTGGGACTGTGTAATTAAAATTAAAACAAATATATTCTGTAAACAGAAAAAAGTAAAAGATTTGAAATGGTAAATGGCCATTTATCTATATTTGTATAGCGCTTTACTTAGTCCCTAAGGACCCCAAAGCGCTTTACACATCCAGTTATCCACCCATTCACACACAGGTGATGGCGGCGGTGGCAGACACTGGTGCCACCGAGCCCTCTGACCACCACCAGTAGCCAACGGGTGAAGTGTCTTGCCCAAGGACACCACGACCGAGACTGTTGGAGCCAGGGCTCGAACCAGCAACCTTCCGATTACAAGGCAAACTCCCAACTCTTGAGTCACGATCGCCTACGATCAATATTTGACAGGAATATCTCTAAATACCACACAATTTCAATACTCGAAGAGGACAGGATGAAGTTTTAAATCTGCAAAACAAAACAGGACTATTCTTATCAGCTGCTGTGTTTAGGAGCAGAGGTGGTGCCTGTCTGACTTTGAGGCAGACTCTTGTGTGGCAGGTAAATGATTGTTCACCAGAGACATGGTTAACGCAATTAAACATTGACAAATGCTCAAATGCGCAATTAAACATTGAGCATTTGTCAATGTTTAATTGCGTTAACCATGTCTCTGGTGAGCAATCATTTACCTGCCACACAAGAGTCTGTAAACTTCATCCTGTCCCTTGACAAATGCTCAACAACTTTGTGCATGCATGTGAGCCCTTACCCCTTCTGTACCGCATCTAGAGCCAGCTGAGTATAGAAATATGGAGTAAAGGCAGAAGGAGTCAGAGAGGGAGCTTCCTCCATCTCTCCCAGTCCGATGTTTGCTTTGCCATCAGTACATAAAATGACCTGTAAATCACAACAGCCGCAAGGTTCTTGTTAATAGTGGTGACAGTCACAGCACTCAGTTGTCCCAATCTGATATCTGACCGCTCATTTACTCACTTTTGACCCGGGGTACCTTGAAGCCATGGCAACGGAGGCTAATGCTGCGGGACCAAGACACGTGGCTCCATGTTCCCTGAGTCTAGAGTCAGAGATGTGGAGAAAACAAAGAGTGTTTCAGACTGTACAGAGCATTCTTCCATGTTTCTAAAACACTTCTAACACTTACTCTTTGACCCTCTGTATTAGGTGGTTGTAGGTCTCAGCGATACAGTGTGGGATGTGGTAAGTCACACCCTTTTCCCATATATGGTCGTAGTCAACTAGCGCCCAATCCCTGAGTGTGATAGGAGCACTAGTACCATCACCATATATTACAACCTGTGAAACCAGCAGAATGTAGTTAGAGCACTCCAGGGGCAGGAGATTTATAAGGTCTTCTTCATTTAATGTCTTCAACATTTAATTCAAATTTTGACAAAAAAACAAATTCTCTGGCAGATGAGGGCAGATTGCTTCTCCCTTCTGTCTGCTGAAGAGCCATCTTCTACAGAGCATGACAGTTCATCATGGTAAACAGGAAGTCCTCTTGTTTTTGTGGGCCAGGCTACATAACTGTCAATTATGCAAGGTCCAAAGGGGACAAAAACAGGAAAACATTTAAAATTCTCTCATGTAGTGATAAATAAGGGATTCAATGGACTTTATAAGTCTGGTTCTATGAACAAGGACGTCTTATGATCTGCTCCACTGATTTTTCTATTTTACAACATTGAGGTAAAACTGGAGCAATGCACTTAGTTATAGCAACATAGAGGAATGCAATTAAATATTCATTATATCTTGAGTGACACGATTATATATTCATATAGATTAAAATTGGCCAAAAAAAAAAAACCCAAAACCATAGGAAAGACAATAAAGGGCTTTTCTATTCTATTCTACTCAAAAAATGAGAAAGATCGCATGGAAGTAAAAAAAAATGTAACAGTAGAGTAAAAGGTAAAAAAAAAATAATTTAGTTTTTGATGTCGTTGTTTTAAGGTAGCAATATAGACAGCAAAATACCTAAAGCTTTAGCATCCCCACTCCTGATAAGGACCCCAGGTTCAGTCTGAATCAACCATAATGATTTGTTCTCATTGTGATTTCTGGAGTCCAAAGACATAATGAATACTAAACACCTTTTACAATCTTTTACCACATGCTAGTTGGATGGGATAACACTTATATTTGTATTTAAATGTTCACAAAAAAGAAAGATTCAAAAAAGCAGCATACAAGAATCAGTGTTATAATTAATACTACTACTACTATTGCTACATCTCCTACCTCATCGTTAAATGTCACCAGAGCCACCCTCCGATGAGGGGACCGTTGCTTTATGGTGAATAGTGCCCTGTAGAGGGCGTCCTGCATACCCTGTGAAGACATACCAAAACAGCACAAACTTTAAAACAAAATGATTATGTTAATGCAGCTCAGCCAATCAAACCACAACAAATTATCCTCTCACCTCTAGTCTGGATACGTATGTTACAGAGCCATTGCTTGATGGAACCTAAAGCAGAGCAAACATGATAAGACTGAACATTTCAAATGGAGTTTTATTGTGATTTAATTAACCTACAATCATGTGGAAAAGAGGTTTCAACTGTGGAAAACTGAATGTCTCTTTACTGCTACTACAGGTATTCAGAAGGTAAGTAGCAGCCAGGTGCTGCTAATTAATTACACTTGTTTAACTGATAACAAGTGAGTGTAGGCACCTCGATGACAGCAGACATTTTGGTATTTAGCTATATGTTACCACAATGCCACAATCTTTTTAAGAGTGGATGTCCCAGTAAGTCCACCCGAAGAACAGATTGTGCAGCGCTTACATAAACTGCAAGAAACTTGAGAGGTGCATCTCAGACTAAGTTAGCATGTTAAATGTAAAAAATCTTGACAGTGCCATTAGAAAAAGACTGAACAAGTACAGCTTGTTTGGAAGGATTGCCAGAAGAAACCCTTTTCTCTCTCTGTCTAAAAAAAATAAATAAATAAAAAGTAAATAAACTTGCATCTGAGCAAAACACAAAACTTGATAGAGACAAGACTGCACAGACGAGATCAAAGTGGGAGGTTTGGCCAAAATGTAGAGTGAAACTCAAACACAGCATATCATCATCAAACACCTATATTGTGTGGATGCTGATTGCAGCTACAGGACCTGGGCACCTTCTTGTCATTGAGTCAGCCAACAACTCCTCTGCATACCATTCTTTATTTTAGAATCAAATGTAAGCCCATCTGTCCGACAGCTAAAGCTTTGTCCAAATTATATCATACAACAGGACAAGAACACACAAAATCTACAACTGAATGTCTAAAAAAGAAAAGAATCCAGATGATCCAATTCAGAGTCCAGACCTCAAACTCACTGAAACGCTGTGGCACGTCCTGTTCTGTGGCAGGACCTTAAGAGAGCTGTCCATAAATGGATGCCTGCAAAACTCAATCAACTAAAGCAACACACTTAAATGAGAGTGGAATAAGATTCTTCACTGAGGACTTGACGACTGATAAAATCATGCAGAAATGCATTTACTTCAAGTTATTTTATGCTCAAGGTGATCCTACAAGCTTTTGAATCATGCAAGAACTCTTTTTGCAACCACAAGGGTAGCCTCCAGCTTTTGATAAACAATGCCTGCAGGAATTTTACCCGCAGTGTGTTTGAATAATGCAATCCACACACCTCTGTAGTAACGCTCATGCTGCCAGAAGTGTCCACGCAGAAAACAACTAGCGTGTCCTCTAAGTTCTGATAGTCGTCTTCACTCTGTCTGGGCAGGTAAAGGTCATCACTGCGCACACCGGCTCGCTGGCCAATGCACAAAGCAGCTAAACTTTCGTCTACGCTGTTTTCATATCCACAGAACTCACATCGCCAAACCTGCACAAGAAGAAGAGGATTTGCTTTTGTTTGTTTCAACTACCTTTGTCCAGTGGAAACCAGTTAATCAATTGGTTGAATCCAAAGAAATAAAAAATTCGGCAATTAAATTACCACTCACGTTCTTCTGTAACGAACTGAGACATGACAAAGCAGCACTACATTTCCCACAAATCACTGGCCTTTGAAAAGTCTCCATGCCTGAGTCTGATAAGCAAAGAAAGAAAAGAGATTAATAAAATCCCCAAAAACCTTGGAAGGAAGTGTGTTTGCATGTGTGTGCCCCCTGACCTTGACTAGTGTCAACCAGTTTTCCAACATTGAGTGAGACAACGTTGACGTTGGCCTTCAACCTGGTTAATCCTTCCAGCTTGTCAACTGATGAAACGCAAAAAGGAAATGAGAGAGAGAGAGAAAGATTAAATATCAAATATAAAACATAAGGAAAGACTGGCAAATCAAACTCACGTCTGGGAGGAACAGGAGGAGGGAGGGAGGGAGGAGCAGACGGAGGCTCCAAGGAGGAATTGTTGTAAAGAGGAAGAGAAGTAGGCCGAGGTTTCCTCAGTCGACGAGGGGGCAGCGGTGGAGGAACCTCATCTGAAGTAACAAGGAAACACTGAATAAATAGCCTACAAAAGCAAAACGTATCAAGTGACATGCTCTCTAGGACATGCAGAGTCCAGGCTATGGCTTTATTACCTCACTGCAGTCATTATCTGATGTGCATATGTGAGATCTTTTTAAAATCTTCTTTCAAAACTTGTCTTAAAACATTAAAGGTCTATCAGAATAAAACTTCCACCAACCCATGGACCTAAAGGAAATGGCTACAGCTGATCCGATCAAAGATTGTGAAAATTAACAGCTGATTTTGTCTCTTTAAATTTTGAGTTGTAAATTTAAAATTCACTCTCCTTAAAAACAAGCAAACAAACAAAAAAATATTACATTAGTCAGGTGGTCACACTTGCCCTTTAGTTTAGTTATCACATTTCTACTCTGTATTGTTTATTCCTTGTATACTAACTGTCAGCTATATATTAGCATGAATGTCAGGCCTTTTTAGGAAACCCAGGAGCTTTTTAATCAGCTGACCGTAATCTTACTAATTTCAGTACTATCTCCTTTATCTTTAACCCTTGTATGGTGTTCGGGTCTGTGAGACCCGTGTTCATTTTTCTTCAAAAGAAAAATCACACAATTAATTATTTTTTCACGTGTAAATGTGTTGTGTCTTTCCACTCACTCCACTTGATTATAACTGATTTATTTATAACATTTTATATAAAAGAAAAACGAGAAGCACATTAATTCATAAATGTGATCTAACAAAGGTAAAGGGAAAAAATTAACCATGTTTGCTGTTCATATGTCTTGTAATTGGGATGAAGTAAACATCTGTTGAGTAATTTAACATAAAATTGTTTGATAGTGTTAATTTGGAAAGCCAAAACTCTAGCGGGTCCACCAGACCCATGAACACTGGCTGAGTAACAAAAATACGAACACCACACAAGGGTTAAATGAACAAACAGAAACAGAAGCCATGATTTATTCCTGTTGGTGTAAGGCAAAAATAGTACATTCTGGATAGCATCTGACATGCAGTGGCTTCATTTTTTTCTGCATGAAAATGAGCTTAACACCTCTGGTTGATATACGGCCACAAACCATGACAGAGCCTCCACCCTGTCTTACAGATTTTCAATCAGAATCTAAATCAGAAATACTTTATTAATCCCGAAGGAAATTATAGGTTACAGCAGGCAGCACGCTAATGGCGCATGCACACTTACAAAGGAACCCTCTGACCAAACTTTACACAAACATCACATTGGGAAGACATGTCAGAGAGGTAGGCTGATAGGAAAAAACAACACAATTCATAACATGAGGTGAGAGGAAGAGGGGGAAAAAACTCCACTCAGACTGAGCTGCTAATGGGAGAAGAGGTTGAGAACAGAAAAAAACACCCCAGCACAAAAAGCCTGTATGTCTGTCAATACACCGTAGAAACACAAGACAAGAAACACTCAGTGTTGTACCTTATCCATACCTATTGATGTAAATTTGAACCAAAAAGTTTAAACTTCATGCTGCTGATTTTCAGTCTGGTGAAGTAGAGGGGACCTTTTCCCCAATCGAATCATATAATGTTGGTTCCCTTACCTAACCAAAGACTAAGTGAAAGTGAAACTAAACTAGGAGTGAAATCAGAATTAATCCTAGAAGTAATGCAACATGAAGTCTGAAAACAATCCAAAGTAATAATGTCTTAATGCATGCTCAATAATCCAGACAAGGAAATCCCAGAAAGTTTATTCTGTTCGCCTCAACATTTCTTCACTGATCCAAGTGACTGCATCCATCTCAGATGATGAGATGGAACCACATAAACCGTCGCAAAATGATCTGAACCTAGCACCACTAACAATAGGCCGTGGCCTCGATTTGGCAGTCGTCAATATGCAAATTGTTATCAGTGGCCATCACATGGGGAATGGCTGCGACCACACTGGACCACACTGGACCACACTGGACCACACTGGACCACACTGGACCATACTGGACCACACTGGACCATAAGAACCACATAAACCATTGCAAAACAATCCGAACCATTGACAGTCATGTGACATCAATGCCAAAAAGTCATAAAAGCGTTCACTGTGAGACCTAATATCCATCTATCTAGCTGCAAATATGAAAGCTGTTTTATAATAAATGCTGTCTTTTTGTTAGATTTTTCTGATTGAACTTCAACCAACAACATTTTAAGGCCTGAGGAACTCAGAAAAAATTCTACAGGCCATCTGTCACCATCCATCCATTCTGTTGTGCTTATCCAGCCATTTACTATCTATCTGCAGAACAAATAATACAAATCTTGATTTTTGTTTTTATGATCTGCGTTAATACTTGTTAATACTTGATATGTGGAATATTTACTTTATTTCTTACATTAATTTCACTGAAATTGATTTGTGTTGGTGAGAAATTCAATTTTACTGGCAATGGGGGTGGAGCCAGACTGATTTGGACAGATTTTTTAGTTTTATCAGCATTAACTGTCACACTCTTCTAACATCTTGATAATTAGAGCTATCTGACATCTTTTTCTCTGTGTGGACTTTCCCTTGTTGAACCTCTATCTTTACATCTCCTACACAGTTCGTCTCTTTGTCTGTCTTGCATTTGCAAGCATGCCCACACACACACACACGCACACACACACATTACTACTTAATATGCTTTCCTGTTATTTCACTGCAATGCTCTTGAGAATTTAATCAACGCTCTGGCCAGAAAAAAGCAACGGTTCATCACCATCAGCGTCATGAGAGCTGCATGCTTGTGCACATTTTTTGCAAGTGCATGAGTGAGAAAATTACCTGCTTGTTGTTTTACTGGCACTATGTTGTCATACTCGGGCCCCATAGGAAAAACGCCTGTAGTTGGAGGAAAAACCCTTCGTTATAACAGGTTTAAGCAGTTATGCACGCTCTCTTCCTTTTTGGTGGCACTTAATACAAACAGACGCAGATTGTTCTGCAACTCAGGGTCAAAGATGTCAACATTTCACCGGCTTAATGTACTTGAAAGGTTCTAACTATAGCAAGCATGAGCATTATTTGTCACATTGGCGAAGATTCACTTTAAGAAACTCACCTGGTCCATCTGGACTCCAGTTGCAAACAACATGGCTGCAAGCAAACTCCATCTGCAACACACAGATATTTATTTAAATTGATTGCGACACCATTTAAAAGACCCACAATCTCTTTGGGTTTTTATCTTTAAGAGACAAATGAATCAGATAATGGGGACAAAGAAAGCGAGAAAAGCTGACATATCAGCTTCATGACTATGGTAGACGAGCTTCCTGGCATTGTCAGTGCGTTGTCACCACAGCAGCTGTTCCTTTGGTTTGGTTATTTTTCTTGTTAACAGGTGCCTGAGTAAAACACTTCCTGTTATAAGAACAGGGAAGAAATGAGAAAACATGAGAAGTAATGGCTTCTTGAATGTGAAGAAGGAATAAAAATAGCATTTTTCTTCAGGTTTGGTTTGTTTGGTTGAAGTATGGCTGCAGACACTGAAACTAGAGAACAGAGCCAATGCCATTGAGGTCAACGTGAAGGAAATGACAGGGTTTAAAGTTCTGAGAACTGTTAAATTATTAACCAGATTTAGATTGTTTTTAATCAGAGCATGGTGGCAGTCACAGAGCAGGCTACAGACTAATGAGTGTTAAAGGGGTCAAACCACAATCTCACACCCCCAACCAAAACCCCCAAACAGCTCTAATGTGACTCCAAAATGATCTCAAAAGCCTATAAAATAAAAACCTACACATTATTTTAAAGCAAAAAACTCATGTGTTTGGACTGTGGGAGGAGGAAGGAGCACCCGAAGGAAACCAACGAGAAGCCGCAGAGAAAACATGCAGGCTCCACACAGAAAGGCTTCCTGTGAGCCGACAGCCAAACCGCTGCACCGCCCTGCCCTGATATGACTGCACTATCCTGCTGCTGATTAACACGATGCCTTGAGAAATGTGAGGTTTTTGACGTGTACTTTAGTGACCAGCTAAATTTCTTCTACGTGGACCTTAACTAAAGCAAAAAGGAAAAACTAAGGATGACTCTGTGGATACTCAGAGTGATTGGTCAGATAAATATGGTCATTTATGTTTTCAGACAAATTTTTTGAGAACATTTCCTTCTTTCTTGTTTCACAATAAAAATGTGCGTAATTTCTATTTTTTTTATCATTAAAAGTTCATGATCCTTAGATTGTGCACCCCATGTTACACCCAGAAAATGAAAATGACGACGCCAGTCAGTTTATTTTCAAAAGTTTCTTTGGAAAAGTTTAAAAAGGAAAGTTTTGTAAGACTTAAAGGTAAAAACTGTTTTAGTGTATAGCAGCTGCTAGCCATACTGTTGTTGTGTCTAATTTCAGCACATGTAGAGTAGAAATTTTAAAAGTTCACATTTTTCTGTGTTCTTCATATTTTCACAGCTCTATGTTGTGAACTGTTTTGAACCATGTTTCCTCCAAATTTATTCACGAAGCAGACGTTCAGTTTATCAAGACAGCAGCTATCTGCACTGATGACAACCAGAAATCCTCATCTAAGCATGAATTCCCCTTAGAGTAGAATTATTATTTTTTTAATTAAAGCTGCTTTATAGTAAAGGTGTCTTTTTTTATGTCTGTTTTTGTTTTTTGTTTGCTTTTTTCAGATGGAACTTTAACCAGGTACATTTTAAGAGCAGAGGGACTCAAAAAGATTCTGAAAGGAAAGGTTTTTACTGTGTCATGGTGAGCTTATAGTTCATGATCATCAAAAAAAAACTGAAGGTAAGCTTAGGTATCATTTTTAAGAGCAAGATTTGCTCTCAAAAAAAGATTCAAACGTAAGTAATCTAAAACGAACCACACAAGCTTTACTTTAAAAAAGAAATTGTGCATTTTGCTATGAATTACTCTAAAAACATTTCTCACCATCACAGAGATTTAAAGGGTTTTTAATTTTTTGGATTATAGGTAGAAAATCCTGAAGATCTCTGGAGCATTTTGTTCGAGTTTTCGCTGAAAGCCATTTTGAAACAAGAGCGGGCTGAACCACAACATTAGCTCTACTCATGCAAACTCATTGCTTCAAAAAAAAGTCACATCAACCCAAGAGGGTCGAGCTACACTTATTTTGAGCTTGCTATAATTAAAGGAAAATAACGTAAGCAACAACTTAAAATAACACACCAAAGTCTGACCCTTTTCTCCACTTTATACAAGCTTTGTTTTACAAGTACTCCTGACTCAGAAAGTCAAGAATGCACAGCAAGTAAGACAGCGTTTTCTCTGTTCCTGTGACACACACACAGCAAATAAAATACAAAAGACAGAGGTCGGCACCTCTGTGCTGCTCAGTATGAAGGCAAAAAGTACTAATGACTCTCACTTAAATTACTTAAGGAGCTTATTTGCATTTTTACACAGCAAGTTGGGCATGCCCGGGATATCATTTCCTTATTTTTGCTTCCCTAAACCTCACAACCTCGGTTATGCTCAGAGGTTATCAGCTCTCTAAATCACTCCAGGTTGCTCTATAAATAGGTCAATCTTGGCAACCGGGACCAAACAAGTTGAGCTGCATACTTCACACATGTGCAGCAGAGTTTCTGCAGCTTTTGCAGCTTAGTTTCAAGGTTTGCATCAGTTGGGTACCTGAACTACTTTCTAGCCTTTCATAAAAAGGGCCTCTGGTGGGATACACCTGTCACCCAGTTTAATTCAGTAAAGCTGCTAAACTGCATCTGAATGAAGAAGAAAGGTGATTTGAGAAACTTTGAATGTTGTATGATTATTTGTGCTGGACAGGGTGGTCTAAGTATTGCAGAAACTGCTAATCTGCTGGTATTTTACTGCACAGTGATCTCTGTGGTTTACAGAGAATACTCTGAAAGGGAAAATATAAAGTGAGCAGCAGTTCTGGTGCCTTGTTGATGTCAGAGGTCAGGGAAGAATGACCAGAGACAATGGTACCTCAAATAAACACTCATTACAGCCAAAGTATGCAGAAGAGCATTTCTGAATTAACAAGGAACCTTGAAGCAGGTTTAATTCAATGTTATTTATATAGCGCCAAAAACAGACAATAAGACATTGGAAAAATGTTGCCTGGTCTGATGAGTCTTGATTTCTGTGGCAAAATTCAAATGGCAGTCAAAAGTTGGTGTTACATGAACATGGATGCACAGATCGATGCATTGTATTAATACTTCCATCTGGTGGTGCTGGTATAATGGCATTAGGCACATTTGGGCCCCAAGTGAGCACCATTTAAAAACCACAGCCTGCATCAGTGTTATTCCTGGCCATGACTTGCCTTTTCAAGTCAATTGTATTTTATTTATATAACACCAAATCACAACTACACTTGCCTAAAGGTGCAAGGTGCAGAATAATACACCATGTCACAAAGATCAGGATAATCTCAAGATGGTTTCTTGAAGATTACAGTGAGTTCATTGCACCCAAGAGGCCTCCAAAGTCACCATATGTGAGAACAGTAGAGCACCTTTGAGATGTAGTGGAACAGGAGATTCACATCATAGATTCATGAAGATTCCAGCATCTTCATGAATCTGTGCCATGAACAATTATCTGTTTTCCTAAACGACAAATTAATCTCATCTGTTGTATCGGTTAGTAAATTAATTCTTTATACTTGTACATAGATTCAATTTTGAAAAGTGGATAAAGCAGGTGCATATCACGTTTGGAAACTTTAGTCCAAAACATTTAATCAAAAGTTAGCTAAATTAAAAATACACGACTCACTCCTGAAAATAAAAGCTGTAACAATAGTTTTATCGTGGATACACACACACAATAAGAAAAGAAATACCTTTGCAGCGGTCTGAGTGCAGCGGTGTCGCTCAAACTGAAAGCGTTTCATGAAGCATGTTTCTAATATGTGTGAGAGTGTGGGCGTGTTCAAAGTCTAAACAGCAACACTTTGTGCATGTGTGTCAGGAAGTCGGTGCAGAGCTGGGGTTTTTTTTGTTTTGTTTTTTTCGTTGATACAGTGTGAAACGAAGTTTGAAAGGAAGCAAGGAAGACAAGAAAAGACTTTATCTGCACGTTTTAATCATCAAAGAGAAAAATCTTTACAGACTGTGAGAATCACGACACGGTTGTTGAACCATGTCCACTCATTTTCACTGTGTGGAAGAGGACAGGGAGTGGGTGTGTGCTGTTAAAGCACACATATCTATATGTACACATAATATGTCTTAGTTACTTTATTATATCAGGACTGTCCTACTGCACTGGAATCTAAACTACATTTAATCTGTATTAGGCCACACAGTGGAACAAGAAAGATAAAAGACCTTCATATTTAAAATTAAAAATATATAAAAGAAGCAGCTGCTCCAACTCCCTTCAGGACCCAGAGTTGAATATGAAGATAACACCGTACGGACACACGGACAGACTGACAGACATCAAAGGGTAGATGGACACTTTGATGGATGCATGGATAGATAGGTAGACAGATGATGCATGCAGGAATCATGGATAGATGTGTAGATGGGTGGATGGATGATGTATACATGTTTGGATGCATGCATGCATGGAAGGATGAATGGATGGATGAACAATGCATACATGGTTGGATACATTGATTACTATGGAGATGCATGGATGGATATTGTATGGGTAGATGACTGCATGCATGCATGCATGGATGATGGATGTTTGCATGAATGCAGGTCATCTTCATGTTAATATTTTCCTTTCATATCATCACATCCTGAACCTTTTACCATAGGAGGTGTTAAACCCACCAATGAACTATGAATGCTGCTGCTATAAAAGTTGTGTTGTGTGAAGAACAAACGTGTATCTGAACAATAAAAAAAAAGGTCTACAGACCTGGCAACAGATTATGTGCTGCATGAAAGCGATCATCTTAGTGTGCACGAGTTGTGGCCTCACTTTAAAAGCTGCTGTATTGCAGCCTTTAGGATTATCTTTACTGCACATCATATAGCAGGAAATACAACAAAAGAATTTCCCAAACATTTATCTTCACTAATTATCTGAATCATACTGATATCAATCACACAAACCCTTCATAAAGTCAAGATCATCGCTGCAGCAGGAAGAAACGGTGATGGAGCATCTGATCACAAAGTGAAAAAAGCTGGGCTCTCCCTTAGAGACAGAGTGCAGAGTTTGACCTTTCAAGAGATGGACTCTGGCTTCTCTGGAATGCCAGTAATCCCTGTGATCCCAGATCAGTACCAGAAAAATGGATAAATGGATCTTGCTTTTTTAATAACAAATACCAAAAATCAGTAACACCAATCTATTAATAGATTTTTCCTTTATTAGTAGAAACTATGAATATTCCCTTCTGCTACAAAGGTCTCCTGCTGTTCATATGATTCAGTTTTCAATGGAAAATGTTTTAGAGACAATACCAAAGTTATTTTTCTTGATTTTTGCTTTACATCTTTGCACTGCTGCCATAATTTTTTACATCCTTTTGTTTCGTAAACTCAGTTTAACAGCTTGTAATGACTTACTTTGTGTATAGTGTGAAAAATAGCTTCCAAAAGTGTAAAATATGCATCACAAAATCAAAATATTTTAAATGATAATCATCACAGTTTTGTTTAGGTAGCATTAGCCCTCTACTCTTATCCTGGTGGCTGCATCACTTTCGCCCCTCTAGCACCTCCAGAATAGCTTTCAAGATGGTTGCCACAGCTACAGCACCAGGGTCTGGCAGGCTGACCAGGTTGGGTGAGATGTAGCTGGCTCTCCCAGCCCTTGCTTTAAGGTCACGAGTTGCCTCCGCTCCTGAAGCAGCTTTCTGTGGAGACCAAAGCAAAAGGAACATTATGTAGAAAAATCTGCTGAGTGAGCAGTGCAACCACATCAACACCAGGTGGCACCATACCTTCACAGCACTTTGCAGTACAGCCATGTGTCCACCAGATGGAGCTGTGGCCAGCTTAATCAGTTCATCAACTGCAGGGCACAAAGCATCCAGCTACAAGGTAAGAGAAACAAAGAAACTTCACTGCTAAAGACACTCTTCATAAATTAGGTCATTCAGATTAAATGAGATTTGGGGGACAAAAATCTTACCATTGTTCTGTCTCCAGGGGCGGCACCACCATATCTGCAAGAAAGTCAACATTTAAGTCCGACCTGGCCATTGCACAGAAATCTGGAGGTTCGGTTGAAAAACAATGAAGACAATTTGCACTTTTATCTTCCTTGACTTTTATTCTCCTTGAGTTGTGACATACACTAACAGCCCACTTACTCATCTTTGTACTTTTGAGATTACAGAGGAACTAGCAGCAATGCAAAAATGGACTATGACAGCTAGTCATTTGTTCAAGGACCTAACTGTATGCTGCGATAAGCTGGGTCTGAAAAGGAAGAAACTTGCAGTTGTTGTAGACAATGGCTGTCCAGATCTGACAGGGAAGAATACTGGATTTTTGCAGAGGATACAAGATAAAGTGACTTACATGAATCCAGAACTGAACTTGGTATTTTTGCATTGTGTTATAAACCAGGAGATGTAGTGAAATTCCCTGCTAATATTAACTATGTTCTGAATGTTGTAACTTAAAGCTTCATCCGGCGAAAGACCTGATGAAGTCAACTCAGTGTTGGACTTTTGGAGGAGCATGACACTGAAAATGGTGACATAGGCTACCACACACCTGCCAGGTTGGCAAATAATATGGGATCTGAGCATTAATTCAAAAGTTAAATGTCAGGATATTCCAGAGCTTTCAGACTGGAAGGCAAGTATAGCATTTGCTGATGATGCGACTGTAGTAATGAATAAACTAAGTTTCTTTTAAACCAACTGGAGAGCAGCACGCCAACATTGATCATAAGATCAAAAACTCTGGAACAGCAGTTAAATGGCCATATGAAGAAGAAAAGTGGACTTTGAAATAAATACAGACATGAAAATGTTACCAACCCTTACTTTTTCATTGCTTCTGTCCCAGCATTCATAGCAGTGGCCCAGGCTGCAGCATTGCTCCGCCCCTCGGTCACATGACCGGCTGCCGCAGTGAGGAACAGACTGTACAACTGAAATAAACTGAGCATTAGTACATGTGCTTGTGCTGATTAAGACAGAATACTGTAGTCAAACACCACTTGAATCAATAAACCCACCGCTCCTGAAGACCCGCCCATTTTCTCCTGCACCAATCCAGCAACGACTGATAACAGCTTCCCGGGGCAACCGGGGACCACATGTCCTTGAAGCCACTCCTGAATGGCTGAACAAGCATCTTCACTATTTTTACAAGTTCCTCTTTAAGCTACTGAAGATAGTAATCACAGTTTCTTACCTCTAGCAGCCTGAGCATGAGTATTACCACAGTCTCCATCCCCGGACGCACGATCAAGGGAATTGAGTTCCTCCTGCTTTTCCAACAGAGTGGAGCAAATCTTCTCCAAGGCTTTATGCATCACAGGACTAAGTGGTCCTGCCAAGAATAACAAAACAAACTTCCATTTAAAAAAGCCCAAACTATTTTATTAAGATATAGATCAGAAATTATATACTGGGCTAGAGAGTAAGAGTTAATGGATGTTATGTGTCCTAACTGGAATGTCCAATATGCCCTCTCTGACAGCACAATTTGTTGGTTTCCTTTTGTTCATCCTGTTTCAATTTCATGCAGGTAAACAAGTTTTAAACATGTTCAATTATAAGCCTTGAATAAGTAATGCATTACAATAATTGATTGCAATACACATACACAAAAAGCTCATGAACTAACCTTCAGAGTGCTTCTCATCTTGTGGCCGTTTGATGGTTGTTTGTGGTTCTGTGATGTAGCTGCGTCCACTCAAACACACATTGCTGAGGTTTGGCCAGGCAGGGGCAGTAGTCTTAGCATCTTGATAGGACAAAGGAGGTGTGTGTTTTTCATTAGTAACAAATTTATTTATCATATAAATCTGTGTCTCTGAACCCATATGAGAGTGCTTATTTGTGTGGTTCTATCAGAAGTTAATATTCACTCATCATGGGGATGAAATTCCTGCTAAGTTTGGATTTATGATTACTTTGAACCAGTCCTTTTCCAGGGTAGAATAATTGTTCAGCATAAATCTAATAACTTAATTTAAATCTAATGAGAAATCAAGAACTGGGTGCAAAAGTCTGAATTTATTTAAGAGAGAGATAAGATAAGACTTTATTGATGCCACAACGGGGAAATTTTTGCGTCACCTCAGCTCAGGTACAGATATCAGAAGGAAATACAAAAATACAATAAGTACAATCAATGAAAAAAAGTAAGATAATACACTATATACAATGGTAGCATACACAGTATGTGATTATGGATATGGTTGGAAATATGAAAGCCATAAACTATAAAGCTTGATATAGCTATTGTACCACCACTATTCCTGTTTATAGACATGTACACACACACATGTACACACTAAATATACATATGTATACATATACATACATGTATACCTGCACATGTCCATACACATGGAAGGTCCACTATGCATGAAGTGGTGACCGTGGATGTTCACAGTGTCCAGTGACTTATGACATCGTGATTTTTGGGTTGGGTTTGGGTATTTTGGGCTTTCACACTCAGAGTAGCCATCAACAAGCTCCTGGCATAATTCTAGCATGATATTTGATCATTCTTCTTGGTAGAATTAGTGGAGTTCATTTAAATTTCCTGGTTTCCTGACATGGCCGCAGCTTTCAAGCATAGTCCACAAATTTTCAACAGGGCTGAGGTTGGGGCTTTAGGAAGCTCACTCCAAAAGCTTACTTTTAGCCTGCTTTATCCATTTAAACCAATTTTTAAACCAACCGTGTCCAAGTTTCAACCACCTAGCTGTCAATTTGAAGGGAAGTTAAAGAACTTAGAGGTACTCCTTCTTCATTATTCCATCCACTTTATCCAATGTACCAGTACCACCAGTAGCAAAACACCCTCAGAGATGTCATAGTGTCATACAGTGTTTTAAGCTTTGAAAGCCTCACCTT